GTCCGACAAAAATCACGGATGAGAAGAGCGCCCAGCAAGTTATCTAGTGGAAACACTGGAATGCATATCACCGGCTGCCTTTCATGCCAACATTCTACATTAAATCTTATGATGAGAGATTTGTAGCTGTTCTGGGTAAAAGTTTTAAACATCACACACGATCTCATGCGACATGTGTGACTGTCAGCTACTACCAGACTTTGTGAGTATCTGTAAAACCCCCTGAGATGTAGTCGTTTTTTGTCGTTGTTGCGTTGAGTTGACTCCAAATGTTAAGCAGTTGTTGAAGCACAGCCAGTGATTACTTCCTGCGAGTTTCATTAAAATGTAATCAATGAGTCATTTTGCTAACGGTACAGACAAACACGCACTCGCACACAAAACATTATCACCCACTTTTGCCTTAGGTGGTGGGTGATAAACAAAACAAAAGCACAATTTATTGCCCAGCTGTGTTCTATAAATGTAAGAACCTGATGTGCAGTTTGTTAATGATATTCTCTGTATTTGTTATTGCTAAAATAAATGAAATGTGTTAAACATCATTTACATTTTCAACGTTAAATAGAATTAAAAATAAAAATCAGGAGTTGGTAGGATTTGATGTACCCATGACGGAAGTAGCAGTGATTTAATGAAGCTGACACCAATTTGTGAAGTGTTGAAACGTGACAGCCAAACCCAGCTTTAAAAGTTTTCTTTTTCACTTTTATTTCTGACATAACGACTCGTTTTTGTCATATTTTACTTCATGAACTGAATATGGTTTCTTCTACATGAAGCAATCTTTATTAAGAATTATTTGTCTTTTGATGATATCTCATGTAGCTGCAGATGAACCTAGCAGAAGGTTGTCATCGAACGTACAACTGATTCACTTTTAGCTGTTGATTATCTCATCAACTAACCTTAGACAAAACAAGGAAGGCTAAAACAGCCAGTGTTACAGATATTGAGCTAATCTTTGATGTGGTAGTAGCTGAGAGTCATTCTGAACACATCCTCTGAGCGTGACATCGCCCAGGAATGCAGAACATTTTCTCATCATAAGATGATCTCAGTCATGGAAGGTGGCGGGAGATATGCATTTCTTCAAGGAATGCTTGACCTTTATTCAAATGTGTCCTCATCTTATGCAAGCTGCAAAGATCTGACAACGATCCATCCATCCATCATCGTCCGCTTGTTCTGAAGTCGGTTGGCAGCAGCAGTAGTTTGGACAGGGAGGCCCAGACATCTTTTTCCACAGCCACCTCTTCCACCTCTTCTGGGAGGACTCCAAGGCGTCCCCAGGCCAACCGAGAGACGTAGTGTCTCCAGCGTGTCAAGGGTCTTCCCAGGGGGTCTCCTCCCAGTCAGACTTGCCTGAAGCACCTCCTGAGAGAGGCTCCCAGGGAGCATCCTTACCAGCTGCCCACACCACCTCAACTGGCTCCTTTCGATGTGGAGGAGCAGCGGTTCTACTCTTGAGTCTCTCCCGGATGACTGATCTTCTCACCCTCTCTCTAAGGGGGAGTCCAGCTACCCTGAAGAGGAAACTCATTTCAACCGCCTGTATCTGTGATCTCATTCTTTCAGTCACTACCCAGAGTTTGTGACCATAGGTGAGGGTAGAAACGTAGAGTGACGGCAAACAAAGAGTTTTGTTTTACATTTCAGCTTCCTCTTCACCACAACGGACTGGTGCAGCGTCTGCATTACTGCAGACGCTCCAGTCTAATTGTCAATCTCACGCTCCATTCTTCCTTCACTCATGAACAAAACCCTGAGATACTTGAATTCCTCCACTTGAGGCAGAACCTCACCCTCGATCCAAAGAGGGCAACAAATTACAGCTAATTATGATTCGTCAAACTCCCTGTCAGAAGTAAACTATATTTCTCCAAACTGAGGTCATTTAAAGAGGTATCTACAACAGATAAGATGTTTATTGTTCATAATTGACCCACAGAACCCCATTTAAAACATACAGCCCAGATCTTTTAAAGTGTGTTGTAACAAAGAAAAACAGTTAAAGTCCAGTTAATCCACCAACGCAAACAAGCAGATGACCTCCACAGATTAGGAAGTTATAGAACGAGGACCCAGAAAAATCTCATCTAGACTGAGGTCCCATGAGGGGGGGCTGTAGGTGGACTCTATTGTTGTGGCGTGGGGCAAACCAGTGAAGTTGAGACAACCAGAATATATTAGATAAACCAGACGTTAAAATTGGATGGAGACCTAGGAAATGGAAGATTACAGATACACATTTGCTTCTCAGTATCACCAATCTGTATTAATCCGGAACCATCTGAAAAGTTTGAGCCACTGGCCCGGGATGAAAATTATTCGGCTCTGAGGATGGATGTCCAGGTCCTTAGCCTGTGCAGCGGCCCGTGGGACTCGGTCATCATTAACCAGGATGATCCCTCTCAGATGGAGCTGTTACAACTCAACTCACCGACTCAAGGAGCCTGACGGATGACTTCATTATTGACTCCGCCCACCTCAGAACTACAGCTCGTCTTTAATCAGAAGCTCTTCATCCCCACGGCTGCCATGTTGCATGACTCAAAAACTTTCTGAGGTTTTTAAAATATTATTACATTCAAGTAGTAGTAGGTTCATAAGATATTTTGCTAACAGACAATTTGGGGTTGTCTCCAATAGTTAAAGTTTTTAGCAAAGGTATGTGCAGTCAGTAGCACTTGGAATATGAATTATGGTGACTATCAGCTACTACCACACAAATGTTTTACTCGTTTTATAAATTTGGCTGAATAATAGCCAATTTGGGGATTTTCTAAGGTCAGCCGGCCTTGGCGGCCATCTTAATTTTTGACATAATCTGATAAAAATAGTTGGAATGGGCACAGGGTACAAAAAAATATAAATGTTGATTTTATTGTAATTGTGATTTGCCTAAAATGACTCTATAAAGATACTATCTAGCACACTCAGTAACTAAAACGGCATAAATCTTTCTAATCTGCCTTTAGAATATACTTTTCTAACAGTTATGTGTTAAGAAATAATCCTTTGGATTTCTTTTTTAACTGACCATTTTTCTCTGCTGGCTGACATTGCTCTGGGAAATCCCTTCATATAATGTTTGACAGGATTGTGAAGATTGGGGATTCCCCTTTTTAAATATAAGGCTGGATGCTTGAAGATATCTCTGTAGATCAATAAAGATTACGTTTTTAAACCAGAACTTTTGTAAACAAAACAAGTTTGTTGCCAGGTAAGGTAATAAATCGCCAAATTTCCACAAACTAGAGATCATTTTGAAACTTTTGAGAATTTGAAAATAATAATAACTCAGTTTTTTTTTATTATTCCTTACTGTGACCCCAACAAGGTTCATTCAGGTCATCTGAACAGTTTTTTTTTTTTATTGAGACATTTCATCCTTCATCCAAAGGACTTCATCATTCCGAGGAGCATCACACAAACTCAGTCCCACAAACAGCACACTCTCATAGTGGACCAACCAATTTGATGGTGATAAGATGGGTTCCGGGGCCTGCCCTCTCCCCCGTCGACTCCTCTCAGGCAGTCATAGCCAAAGTGGTTCAAACCATAAAAGTTCATGCTCATTAATCCAAAACGTCGGAGAACGAAACATCTCAACCAAAAATAAACTGTCCAAATGATCTGACTGAACTTTGTTGGATTTTTTACCTGGATTATTGAGCATGAACTTTGATATTTTGAACCACTTTGGCTATGACTGCCTCAGAGGAGTCGACGGGGGAGAGGGTGGGTCCCAGAAACCATCTTATCACAGCAAACTGGTTGGTCCACTATTGAGTGTGCTGCTTGTGGGACTGAGTTTGTTTGTGGCTCCTCGGACTGATGAAGTCCTTTGGTTGAAGGACGAAACATCTCAACAAAAAATGAATCATCCAGAGGACCTGAGTGAACCTTGTAAGATATTTCACCTGGATTATTGAGCATGAACTTTGATGCGTTGAACCACTTTGGTTTACTGACTAGTTTTGCCAGCACCGGTCACATCAGAGTCAGAGTCAGAGTTTCTTTATTGTCATTCGCACCTCATGTGGTACATGTGGTGGAGCGAAATTATGTACACAGGGTCCCAGTTACATCCAACAATAAAATGTATAAGGAAAAAAAAAAAAAGTGGGTTGGCTCCACACGTTAATCAGTTGTGGACATACATCCAGTGATTACTTCCTGTGAGCTTGATTAAAATTCATCTGGTGGTTCATGAAAAATTTTGCCAAAATACGGACGCACGCAGGTACTGGCCAAAACATTACCGCCTGCCTTAGGCCTCTCAGCGAATAACAGAGGAATATACGCTCGGTTAAACCTCTTAAAATCAAGAAAATCCAGATAGTCTACTTTTGTTTCATTGTCATCAGCCACCGTGTGCAGACTTTATTTTGCATTACCGACAGCACTCAGTGTGAGCATTCTGATGTGTTCTGGCATGTTGTTTGTCTCTGCAGAGCCGCATCCGCCGAATGTGGAACGACACAGTCAGAAAACAGTCTGAGTCCTCCTTCATGACTGGCGACGTCAACAGCTCGGCGTCGCTCAACAGAGGTACGCCGTCCTGAGGGAAACGCCATCTTTACTGGCTCCTCATTATACCGCCCTGCCCCTCAGACTTTCTGACAAACGTCAGAATTATTCAAAGTGTGCTTTTCTTTAATTGACACCGTAATTGCTCTTGCTTTTAATGTGACACGGAGTCGGTACAGAGCTCAAAGCGTTGTATAATTTAATATGCCAAGCTTTCAAACAAAAAAACTTTCTCAACATTTTTGATCAGGGCACATCAGCCATTTCACAACAGTTTGATTTAGAGAATTCAAAAGAATTGACAATTAGTTTTTTTGGCTTAATTTTAAATTCTATTTTAAATTCAGGAGATTAGAGATGTGGCATCAACAAAACTTCTGTTTGAATGTGGTCTTTTGTTGTTGTTGTGGGGTTTTTGTGTGTTGTTTTTTGGCTGGTATTTATAACTTGAATATGCCGAATTGAAGCTAGTATCATAATCACAACCAAACATTGTTCATTACATCACTTGTTCTAATTTAGGTGCTTTTTATTTCACTGCCTGGTTTTTAAAAAGAAAAAAAAAATTGTTTATTGTGGCACATAGCACATAATAACAGGGATATTTTATTTATGTCACAGTGTTCGTTTCTAACTTAAGTCATGTTAATTTGATTTTGAGTTTACGACATAAAAGTAGAACTGAAGTGAAATGTCTTCCCCTTCACATCCCGAGGATTCTCGGCGGGGTTCGGGTCTGGTCTCGTTGGTTGCCAATCCATGTGTGAAAATAATCTCATGCTTCCTGAACCACTCGGAGCAGTTTGAACCTGATGAAACTTGGCATTGTCATCTTTGAATATGCCTGCGCCATCAAGAAAAGAAAGAGTCAGCTGACCTTTTTGATTTTCTTCATTTCTTCTTATTCGAGGGTCACCAGATGTAGCTGCATTAAGTCCTGACCAGCGGAGGTAAACTCTAACCGTGTCACTTCCTCCACAGGCTTGTGCGTTAAACACTGGGCGTGATGGACACATTCCTTTATCTTCCACTCGTCTTGCCCTGATGCACCCATCACTCTGAGTTTAAACTTGAACTCAAGAGAAGACTTTCTACTTAAATGCTTCAGAGGCCAATCTTTCTTTTTATTCCCCATTCAAACTGTCGTTTTTAGTCTAACATAAAAGTTTAGTGTTTCAACACTAAAAGCTGTTTAACTCAATACCAGACTTTACTAAGGCCCCTTCTCACACTTGATGACCACCCTGCTAAGTTCTCCATAACATACTGTGCATAACCTACTAGAACAGCACTGGATCGTGGCGGTGTTGGAAAACCTCTTTCACAGTAAAAGCACAGTCTTCATTCTTGATATTTAGGCTTTTTCTGCAACTTTCCGCATCCCTGAGCTCCTCCTCTGCTCCCTCACCAGCCCTGGTACAACGCTTTCAGAATGTATCAAGAAGCAGCTACACACTAGAAGATTGTTGCGTCCCAGCACAATGCTACCATGATGGGTATTACAATTGCAATAGATTGTTTCTAAGTCCTTGTCATGATCACAGTAGTAGCCATGGCATGAGGTCAGCATGACCAGACCTGTGACAAATTATTGATGACTAAGCCATGCCAATGTACAAAGACCTCATGTCATGGGTATGCTGTCACCTCACTCTACCCAGCACTCCAGTATGACACTCCCACAATGATAAACCACCACAAACTTGATACAGAAGTAGCAAGTTCATGAATGTAGTTCAGGAATGCTCTTAACTGCCAACTGCATTCTTAATACATGCCTGAAGCCCTCGCCAAGGCCATGCAAAGACCATCCATGTTCCGGCTAATTTCTTACATCATAGTCGGGCCATGAAGGAGGCCTCAAGTGGGGCAGTTATGTACCAAAATAAAAAGTATGTTTAGCCATCTCATAATTTGTTCTGTGCAGACCATTATTTAGTCCCTTTTAAAGAGAAAAGCCTTGTTTTCTTCTCAACATACTCAAGCATTGTTTGAGCTGAAATATTTAATTTTCATCTCTGCTAAAATCTGCTAAAGTTTGGTGTGAGTTTCAGTTATTAAAACAAGCATTAGCATTTAGTTGAGATAGGAATAAAACACAAAATGTTTGATATTTCTTGGATGTGTTACTGTGGATGGTTTGAGTTGTCAATATGACATTAAAACTACATGTTTAAATATCTACACATTCACCACTACTCTGCCCTTTTTTTAATAATTAAAGAACACAGATGAAAACATTTATGTTATAACCACAATACCAATGACTAAAAAGTGGCTGAAAAAAAATTCTTGGGTGTTTAAACAGCTGGACTAAACTGCCTAAAGTAAATTTAAAGCCAAAATGATCTGCTCTAAGTGAGGGCCACAAGTAGACTCAAGTTTAAATTCATATCTAATATACACCAAGTGGTTGTTAAAGGAAGTATGCGATGATCACTGAAGAGTTAATATTTTGTTGCCAAGTGAAACATTAATCATAGCAGTATCTTTTTGGGTCAGGCAGTAAATACTGAAAATGTGGTGACATGGATTGAAGACCTTAAAGGGACCCTGACTAGATGGAACAGTAGACCTTATTTGATCAACAATTACTTCGCTATAAAAACGAGACTGTAAAAATTCTGTAGGCTTTTATAATAAAAAAAATTGACGCACCAATGCTGCCATTTTATTTACATTGTAATGCATTCTGGGTAAATTCATTCATTCATTCAATCTTTATTTATACAGATTAATCACACTGAGCCTCGGAAACTCATTTACTAGTGAGAATAATGCAGACACGTTGCTTCAGTGTGAGCGCCATTCAGCTTGAATGTTAAGTTTGGACATTATCTGATGTTCAGCCCTTTTATTTAAACAAGAGCACGTTGATGGAAAGGAGGGCGCAGAAATGACTCCGCTTTTGTGTTAGCTCCAGAGCTAATTTATGAAGTTCGCTCCAAAGCTAATAATATATGGTGTTAGCTCCAGAACTAATAGCATTAGCTCCAGAGCTAATTTATGACGTTAGATCCAAAGCTAATAATATATGGTGTTAGCTCCAGAAAGAATAGCATTAGTTCCAGAGCTAATAGTGTTACCTCTGGAGCTAACACCATAAATATTAACTCTGGAGCTAAACTGTTAGCTCTGGAGCTAACGCTATTAGCTCAGAAGTTAACTTAATATATTATTAGCTCTGGAGATAATGTCAAATATTAGTTCTGGAGCTAACGCCATAAATATTAACTCTGGAGCTAATATTTCACATTACCTCCAGAGCTAATAACATATGGAGTTAGCTCCAGAGCTAATAGCATTAGTTCCATAGCTAATCGCGTTAGCTCCAGAGCTAATAACGTTAGCTCCAGAGCTAATAAACATCACAAATCGATCACGTATGATCGTTTCAACTCCTATATTGTGCGCAAGGATTAATACAAAATATAATTTTAATGTCCTGGTATAACTTTTTAGCCATGAGCCCTTGTGTTTTAATCTCCACTACAACCTATGTACGTGATCACTCCAGAATGCACTGTGCTAGTAAAATAATGGTGATGTCTTTAGGAGAAAAGTGTAATAAACATATATTTTTTAAGTAATTAGAAGTTTTCACGTGTTACAAACAACAACTTTTAGTAGAATAGAGGAATACGAACATATTAAGGCCAATATGTGCAAGTAGTTGTAGATCCCTTTAAAAGACAGAAAACAGAAGAAGACAAACATTTCGCTTTCTATCTCAGGGGAAAAAAAAGAGTTAGTGGAATGCATTTGACTTTACACCTTTCTTCGGCTTGTACAGAAATAGACACCCTGTTGTCGTACTTGCTGCTGTGGCTCCCTACCACTCCTGGCAGTCATCACATCTCCTGATTGAGAGCTCCAGTTCCCACTCTGCTCGCGCTCTAAATTCACTCTGGGCGCCCTGCTCGCAAAGACGCTAATGCATAGTTACAATGATGGATTAATGTTCGACACAACGAGGAAGTGCCATGATCTCTGTAATTAGGCACTCAGCTCAGCACCACCTACAGACGCTGCTTTTATCAACTGTGCCGAGGCTGAGATGAGGCGGAGATGTGAGGGGGTTGCAGGTCAGGAGTTGAGGGGAAATCTTACATGGATGTTCCATAAAGGCAAAAGGCAGAGATAGAAATTATTAATGCACCTTTTATGCCCCCCCCCCCCCCCCCCCAATACTTAACCAAGGAAAACTCCCCTAGAGACACTGAAGAGAGCTCTGCCACCCGAAGCATCTGAAGGACCAGATGCAAATGGAATTGCCCTCATTCTTGGCTTTTCTGTGTGGTTATTAAAAAATTAGATGCTGAAGAGCAAACATTTCCTGCTGATTTGTCCTTTGCAGTCACCCCCCCCCCCCCACACACACACACACACTCACACACACACACACACTTGAATATGAGACGATGAGCTTGCAGCTGACTCTTTCTGTGCTCTCCGTGAAGAGAGCCGAGTTGTGCAATCATCTTGACAGCGTTGCACATTCAATGCATCCGACCATTCAGGATCATTGCTACACAATCAATGTGTTTTTGTTTGTTTTTAGTGTGTGTGTGTGTGTGTGGGGGGGGGGGGGGTGGAGCTGGCCAATTTAAATAAATATTGGATATGGGGGGGGGTCTGTTTTGTGAGAATTCAAAGAGAAGCGGAGCTGGTTGTTTATGGAATGCGCTGTAATTAGGGCAAGCGGCACCAGCAACAACAAATTACTGTTATTTATTAAATTTTTGCCCCTCCTACAATCAAAACAACATTCTGTTTTTCAAGCAAAATAATAATATGTCTAATTAATACAAAGCTCAAACACACTCGCACACAAAAAAAAGGCTCACATTACTGAAAAACGGGACCAAACTAGCAGGAGTGCACTGAAGAGTGTCGACATAAAAAGTTCTCGCAATTAAAACCATTTCGATGAGCGCACAAGCAACTTTGAAAGGTGGAATAAAAACCTTACCCAGTGGTGACGGATTCAGAGCATTATTAAAGAACAGCGCTCTCTGACA